ACCCCTCCACAGTGAGCTGTGTTCCATGGGCCCCCCCACCCAAAGTGATTCCCGTCACAACTCCCCTCTACATTTATACTCTTATCCCAGAGTTTAACCAATGCCTAGAATGCTACAGCATAGAAAGATTTGTCAGTGTGCCTGAACCATCCTAGGACAGCTTGCTTCCATTCATCATCACTGCTGAAATACTGACCTCTATGGAATTCTTTTAGGGGTCCAAACAGGTGAAAATTATTTGTACGAGGTCGGGGCTGTAAGCTGGATGAGGCAATACTTCCCAGCCGAGTTGCTGTAATGTGCATGTAGTGCGGTGAGCACTATGAGCTTTTCCATTGTTCTAGAGACACAGGACGCCCTTAGTGAGAAAACCAGGCCTGCCCTTCCCTGTCAAGACGCTCCTTCAACGCAGTGTAGACATCAACTCTTCTGTGCTGGTCAAAAGCAAAAAAAGTTGCCTTGGTACCCAGCGTGCACTAACTTTTTGAAAATGCAAAGGTTCGTGAATGAGTGTGTTTACCGTTCCCACAGAAAGATTAAGTCTTTTGTACAATTTCACGACAAGTTATGTCCAGGATCAGGCGTTCCATGCACTGAATGTTCACAGGAATGACTGCTGTGGGCTGAGAACCAGCATGGGATTGTCACTAACGGACGGACGACCATCTTTGAAACGTTTACACCATTGAAATGTCTTACTGCGGCTGAGCATCTCATCACCGTACTGTGCTTGAAGTCTTCTGTAGATATCCACAGGTTTTACACCTTTGCTACCACAAGCTGTTCCATGGACACACTAACACTTTTGTCTGCCATCTTGGTTAGCGGTCTCTGGACTGGCCCGTGGCATGTGTGCCGCCTAATAATAGGACACACTTGCCACTTACTACTATGAGTAGCACCACTACGCTAGCATCCTTTTTATACCTGTTAAATTAAAAATCCCAGTTTGATATGAACACCCCTCAGAGTATCAATACCCTTCACTGTAGACACCTGAACTCCATCACTGGAGGGGTTTCACATATTTTGTACCATATAATGTATCAGTTGGGAGTGGGATGACCCTTTCTTGGACTCTTAGATGGGTGCTCTACATGCAGAGTTACCATTGTTGGTAACGTTTTTTAGTCATGAGCTTGTAAGGGCAGGACTGATGTTGGATGAGAAGAACTGGGCCACAATCAGCATTGAAGGTGTTCAGTGGGGTTGAGGTCAGGGCTCTGTACAGGACACTTGAGTTTCTGCACCCATCACACCTTTATGAGCTTGTTGCACATCCCCTTCCTTAACCATGGTCATTAATATAGAGTCTCCCCATTTGTGGCTATAACATCCTCCACTCTTCTGTGAAGACTTTCCACAATATTTTGTAGGGTGCTCACCATCAGTGTTCCAATGCATTCCGAAGGTGTTCAGTAGGGTTGAGGTCAGGGCTCTGTGCAGGACACTTGAGTTCCTCAACACCAAACTGGTGAAACATGTCTTTATGTCAGACCATGTCTACACAGGGTTACAGTCATGGTGGAACACAAAAGGGCCTTCAGACTGTTACCACAAGGTTGGAAGAGCACAATTGTCTACAGTCTCTTTGTATGATGGAGTATTAACAGTACCCTGCACTGGAGACACCTGAACTCCATCATTTGGAGGGGTATCCACAAATGTTTGGTCATATATAGTGTACAACAGGTTAAACATCCCTTTCCAAGGTCATGGAGTTGGTCTCCTTCGTGGTTATAGCATCCTTCACTCTTCTGGATAGACTTTCCACAAGATGTTGGAGGGTGTCTGTGGCAATTTGTGTCCATTTGTGAGGTCAGGTGCTGATGTTGGATGAGAAAATATGGCTCACACGTTGGATCTCACACTGGGCGCCAGAAAAAAAAAAAAAAAGAAACAAAAGTCCTGGCTCACAATTTGCATTCCAATTCACCCCAAGGGTGTGCTTTCAGCAGGGTTGAGGTCAAGGCTCTGTGCAGGACACTTGAGTTCCTCAACACCAAACTGGTCAAACATATCTTTATGTCAGACCATGTCTACACAGGGTTACAGTCATGGTGGAACACAAAAGGGCCTTCAGACTGTTACCACAAGGTTGGAAGAGCACAATTGTCTACAGTCTCTTTGTATGATGGAGTTTTAACAGTACCCTTCACTGGAGACACCTGAACTCCATCATTTGGAGGGGTGTCCACAAATGTTTGGTCATATATAGTGTACACACAGGTTAAACATCCCTTTCCAAGGTCATGGAGTTGGTCTCCTTCGTGGTTATAGCATCCTTCACTCTTCTGGGAAGACTTTCCACAAGATGTTAGAGGGTGTCTGTGGGAATTTGAGTCCATTTGTGAGGTCAGGTGCTGATGTTGGCTGAGAAGACCTGGCTCACACGTTGGATCTCACACTGGGCGGCAGAAAGAAAACAAAAACAAAAGCCCTGGCTCACAATTGGCATTCCAATTCACCCAAAGGGTGTGCTTTCAGCAGGGTCGAGGTCAAGGCTCTGTGTAGGATACTTGATTTCCTCCACAACAACAGACAAGTCATCTACAGTATAAGTGACCTAAGCTGCAGAGAATCTTGTCACGTCAAAGAAAACGGCTTACAGCTAAACCAAGATGTCAGCCTCGCTTGCTCCTTTTTATCTTGTTCTAAACCTCCATGTATCTTAAAAAAAAAAAAAAAAAAAAAGTCAAGTGGGTCAACTGGCAGTGGCTAACAGTGGTCCGTCCATTTAGCACAAGATTCCACTTCAGACAGTAATTTTCTGTTTGGTAATTCATCTCTTTTACAGAAGAACACATGGGGACAGCACCACCAAGAAGGTCACGATGGGGCTTTGTGTTCCACCTCGCAATGGCTGTATTGTTCTCCAGGACTTGGAAGCCCTACACCAGGGATGCTCAACCTTCTGAAGAGCGAGGGCCACTTACTGTAAGTGATTTGGTAAATCTCCGTCTATCGGCATCGCCAGTGGTCTCATCAGGGGGGCGAAGGGTTAAGGAGCTGCGTGAGGAGCTGCGACAACGCCGCGCATGATACGTGAAGCAACATGTCATTACTCACAGGAGCATCATTAATTACAGTGTCAGGGCTCCCACTTATCTGATAATTAAAAGTCTGCATTACATATTTAATCCCTCCAATCCCCGAGGTGTTCGGCGCGCTCAGCACGGGGGGGGGGGGGGGCAGATGGAGAAGGAGAAGAAAGGCGCGGATCGCAGAGGAGAAGGAGGAAAGTCGGGGTGGGCGAGCCGGCGATCGGCGTGCGTTCGGGGAAGAAGAGATGTGCGCAGCTGGGGGTGCGAGGATGCAAATCCGCGTTTGTCTTATCGGGGCGAAGTGGTGACAGATCAGCGACTGGCGGGGAGCCGGACTGCGCCGAGCCATCAAACGCTTTCAAGTGTATTTAGATGTAATGCAGCGGCTCTGATCCGACTTCATTCAATGTCTATCGGACTAGAACAGGATTTTTGTTTTTTTTATCCCCTTATCCCTCCTTCACATGGGGGGTGGAAAAATCAGCTAAAATTCTCCTGAGCTCCACGTTGTCACAGCCAAAAGTCGTATCGGTTCCCACGGACACCAATGATGGGGCACTATTCCTCCCACTGACACCAATGATGGGGCACAATTCCTCCCACGGACACCAATGATGGGGCACTATTCCTCCCACGGACACCAATGATGGGGCACTATTCCTCCCACTGACACCAATGATGGGGCACAATTCCTCCCACGGACACCAATGATGGGGCACTATTCCTCCCACTGACACCAGTGATGGGGCACTATTCCTCCCACTGACACCAATGATGGGGCACTATTCCTCCCACTGACACCAATGATGGGACACTATTCCTCCCACTGACACCAATGATGGGGCACCATTTCTTCCACTACCACTACTGAAGGGGTACCATTCCCTTCTCTGACACCAATGATGGGGTATTATTCCTCCCACTGACTCTAATGATGGGGCACTATTCCTTCCACTACCACTAATGAAGGAGCACCATTCCTCTCACTGACACCAATGATGGGGCACTATTCCTCCCACTGACATCAAAGATGGGGTATTATTTCTTTCACTGAAACCAACAATGGGGCACTATTCTAATGACACCGATGACGATGAGCCATTCCTCCCATTAACACCAGTGAGGCATATTCCTCCCACTGACACCAATGATGGGGCATATTCCTCCCACTTACACCAATGATGGGGTACTATTCGTCCCATTGACACCAATTATGGGTGCTATGCCTGCCACTGACACCAGTGATGGGGCACTATTCCTTCCACTGACACCAAAGATGGGGCACTATTCCTACCACTGACACCAAAGATGGGGCACTATTCCTCCCTCTGACACCAATGATGGGACACTATTCCTCCCACTGACACCAAAGATGGGGCACTATTCCTCCCTCTGACACCAATGATGGGGCACTATTCCTCCCACTGACACCAATGATGGGGCACTATTCCTCCCACTGACACCAATGATGGGGCACTATTACTCCTACTGACACCAATGATGGGGCACTATTCCCCCCACTTACACCAATGATGGGGCACTATTCCTTCCACTGACACCAATGATGGGGCACTATTCCTCCCACTGACACCAATGATGCGGCACTATTCCTCCCACTGACACCAAAGATGGGACACTATTCCTCCCACTGACACCAACGACGGGGCACTATTCCTCCCACTGACACCAACGACGGGGCACTATTCCTTCCACTGACACCAATGATGGGGCACTATTCCTCCCACTGACACCAATGATGGGGCACTATTCCTCCCTCTGACACAAAAGATGGGACACTATTCCTCCCTCTGACACCAAAGATGGGACACTATTCCTCCCACTGACACCAACGATGGGGCACTATTCCCCCCACTGACACCAATGATGGGGCACTATTCCACCCACTGACACCAATGATGGGGCACTATTCCTCCCTCTGACACAAAAGATGGGACACTATTCCTCCCTCTGACACCAAAGATGGGACACTATTCCTCCCACTGACACCAATGATGGGGCACTATTCCTCCCTCTGACACAAAAGATGGGACACTATTCCTCCCTCTGACACCAAAGATGGGACACTATTCCTCCCACTGACACCAATGATGGGGTATTATTCCTCCTACTGACACCAAAGATGGGGCACTACTCCTCCCACTGACACCAATGATGGGGCACAATTCCTCCCACTGACACCAATGATGGGGCACAATTCCTCCCACTGACACCAACGACGGGGCACTATTTTTCTATCCAGGATAAGATGCAATGCTGTTAGAAATCAGCCTACAGCTGCAGTTTCAGTTTTTTTTCTATTTGTTATGTAAGGCAACCCTGGGAAATGCAAAACTCGCCATAACAAATTGCAGCCGTGACGGCTCTCCGGTCAGCTCTGACGCCTGCACCTCCCTGCTGGGTCGATGCCCCGACAACACAAGTCAGGATACAGAGGAATGATGGGCTTGGTGGGTCAGACAGAGGCGGCTGGGAACCTTTCCCGGGAAGGTAATGCTATTCTGAGCCGCTCTCGGCACTGTAATCTATATGGTAATCTCCGGCGTGTCACTCGGCTGGTAAATAAATAAAAACAACAACAAACTCCGATCCCAGAGTGAGCTGAGTGTGGAGCGGGGGGGGTTTAAATTCGGCCAAATACAATGAGTCTTGTGCGCCATTGGCGGCCATGGCCAAGCCCCCACCGGCCAAGCAGGCAAAGCACACCTGCTGAACGGGTAAACTGGAGCTGGACGCCAACGGGCAGCCAATGGGCAGCCTGCCCGCCTTTATCAACTGCTCTGACAAAGAGCTAAGTGTTCAGTCGGCACGCGGCCATGAAAAGACAGATTGGAGCAGCTGGTTGTAGGAGGCAGACGCAGCATCTTATAGGAATTTCACATTCCAGGAAATGTCCTTCGCCTGGCTACCGTGCGGACCTAAAGACTTGACCAAGAGTTTGTTATGGCGAGTTTGCATTTCCCAGGGATGCCTTACAGAACAAATAGAAAAAAAACTGAAACTGCAACTGTAGGCTGACTTTTAACAGCATTTGCAGAGGGAGGAAAAATGCCTCATCATTGGTGTCAGTGGGAGGAATGGCTCCCCATCATTGGAGTCAGTGAGGGTAATAGTGCCCCATCATTGGTGTCAGTGGGAGGAATAGTGCCCCATCATTGGTGTCAGTGGGAGGAATAGTGCCTCATCATTGGTGTCAGTGGGAGGAATAGTGCCCCATCATTGGTGTCAGTGGGAGGAATAGTGCCCCATCATTGGTGTCAGTGGGAGGAATAGCGCCCCATCATTGGTGTCAGTGGGAGGAACAGTGCCCCATCATTGGTGTCAGTGGGAGGAATAGTGCCTCATCATTGGTGTCAGTGGGAGGAATAGTGCCCCATCATTGGTGTCAGTGGGAGGAATAGTGCCCCATCATTGGTGTCAGTGGGAGGAATAGTGCCCCATCATTGGTGTCAGTGGGAGGAATAGTGTCCCATCATTGGTGTCAGTGGGAGGAATAGTGCCTCATCATTGGTGTCAGTGGGAGGAATAGTGCCCCATCATTGGTGGTAGTAGAAGGAATGATGTCTCATCATTGGTGTCAGTGGGAAGAATAGAGGGAAGTAATGAATGCAGAGACATTCAGGTGAAGGGCTTTAGGAGATGGTCAGCATTGGGTCCAGTGGATCCTTCTTTGGTCCCCTATCATGCCTTATTCTTTGCAGTAGAGCACATGTGTCAAACACAAGGCCTGTGGGGCGAATCCGGCCCGCCAGACCATTTCATATGGCCCCCGCGCGCCTCTACTGCAGCTGCGGCACCCCCCTCATCCCCGCCCCCACCTTGTCTCAGCAATCTGCAGCTGAGAGGACAGAACTCCCCCTCCAGATGCAGCTATTCACTAATATTTAGGCCATGTACAGTTTTTTGCCCCTTTTAGCCATCAGTGCATCCAGAACTGCTGCTGTAGAGCAGATTTATCCACAATTTACAGAGCCAGCATTACCAACTTGCATACAGCGCTTTCGTGCTTCTTAACTCCCATCAGTGCGAGATATAACTTTACTGGCTGTACGGTGTAGGGTACAGGTGTCGAACACAAGGCCCGCGGGCCAAATGCAGCCCACCAGGCCCTTTCATGTGGCCCTTGCACTTCTACTGCAGCACCCCCTCATCTCTGCCCCCATCATATCTAAGCAGTAGAGAGGAGGGCAGAACTCCTCCTCCAGATCCTGTGCTTCTCTACGCAGCCACACAGAGGCTTGCCCCCCCCCCCCCACTTACCGTCTGAGGAGTTGGTAACAGAGGAGGACAGAATTCCTCCTACAGATCCTGTACCTCTCTGTGCAGCCACAGCACCCCCTCCTCTTAGCCTCCCTCGGTCTCAGCATTCAGCAGACTCTGGCAGCTGACTCCAGCCCTCCTCTAGACTCTGTACTTTCTGCTTCCCAGTTCCGCCACCAGCTTCTTCCCAGCAGCACCACAAGGTAAGGGGTGTGGACTGTGATATAAGGAAGGGTGGGGTGGCTCAACTTCTGATGGTGGGGGGGGGGCTCTTGACATCTGATACAAGGAGGGTGGGGTGCTCTGAAGATCTAGTCTTACAGATACAACCGTTCCTTTGAGGGCAAAGGAAGTTTGACACTCCTGCAGTAGAGGATCTGGGTGTTGCATTCTGCCAATGGGAAGAACTCAATTGGCAGGGGACAGAGGGGCTTCCAGTAGGAGACATTTAGTGGGGATATACAATGTAGGAAATACTTAGGCCTCCCCTCTGCAACACCCAAAACCACAAATGAGCAACACCTTCCAACCCAAGCCCAACCACAAACTGAGCCACAGTTTCAAAACTGCATTTGCAGGGATTACAGCCACTTGCAGACTGCTCAAAATATTGGCAAAGTAAAAGACTCTTCAGGTGAGCCTCCACTTCGAAGTCTAAAGGGGGATTCTGAAGACTTGTATGAACAGGAAAGTAAGCATTGAAAATAACAGCAGTACTTATAGGAAGGCACCACAAGATGCCAGCAGGTACCCTTCATTATGTTCAGATCTTTTTCTGTGCAGCCTGAGATCTCCCGAAACCTATCTACAACCTGCAAGTACTCTATGTGGCCCAAACATGTGGTCACTTGAGCAGTACACGCTAGCTTGTTGGACATCCATTCTCACTACCCTTACTGTGCAAGCATGGTTTTTCAAGGCATTCAGCAAGGTGGAGGTCAGGGCTCTGTGCAGGACACTCAAGTTCCTCCACAGCAAACTGGTCAAACCATGTCTCTATGGAGCTGGATCCACTTTTCTTCGATGGCTTCCTACAAAATTAAATTAAGCCAAAGGAACATTTATGAGGTCAGGTACTGATGTTGGATGAGAAGACTTGGCTCACCATCAGCATTCCAATGTATCCCAAAGGCATTCATTAGGGTTGAGGTCAGGGCTCTGTGCAGGACACTCGAGTTCCTCCACACCAGACTGGTCAAACCATGTCTTTATGGAGCTGACTTTGAACACAGGGGCACAGTCATGGTGGAACAGAAAAGGGTCTTCACCAAACTGTTACCACAAGCTTTGAAGAGCACAATTGTCTGCAATGTCTTTGTATGATAGAGTATTAACAGTACCCTGAACACCTGAACCCAGTCATTTGGTGGAGTGTCCATATCCCTTGGGCCATATAGTATATCCGTTTGGCGTGGGATGATCCTATTACCATTAATGGTGAAGTTATTTAATCACAAACCTCCAAGAACAGGACTTATTTTGGATGAGAAGACCATCAGCATTTCAATTCATATCAAAGGTGTTCAGTAGGGCTGAGGTCAGAGCTCTGTGCGGGACATTCAAGTTCCTCTACACTAAACTGGCCAAACCATGAAGCTGGATTTGTAACAAAGGGGTAAATCAGTGTGGGGATAAGGTTCTTTCACCCCCTTCCATGAGCTGTGAACTACTTCGCCAGGATAGGTTGCAGGTCCTGCTCTTTTTGCGCTCTCCTCATGCTGCCTCCTCAGCCTACCCCTTGGCCTGCCCCTGGGCACAGTCATGCTGGAACAAAAAAGGGTCTTCCTCAAAACTGTTACCACAAGTTTGGAAGAGCACAATTGTCTAAATTGTCTTTGTAAGATGTAGGACCTTTAACTGGGGCCACCTAAACTCTATTGTCTGGAGGGGTGTCCACATACGTGACATACATAGTAGTGAATATGATGGTCAGGTGTCCACAAAGCGTATGTGCTTCAACATCGGTCATACTTTTGGCGCTCTTCTGACTACCCATTAGCGGCTCTACTGGTTGTTGAGTATCGGGAAAATATATACATGTTTAAACGAAGTTCTGAAACAAACACCCAACTGTAAATGAGTTATTTCATTAATTGTCACAAACCCTTCTGTGCCCCAACAGGCAGAACTTTCCTAGTGTGATATAAAGCTTTCAGTAACCAGAGGTTTCATATACAGACTCTTTGGTGAACCGTTTCTTCACATAGGTGATGATGATTGCAGATGACCAGACATGACTTCTTACCTGGAATGTTGTGTATGGTGATGGCCAAGATGAGAAGCATGATCCGTCTCCAGCTGCTCCCATCTTTGTTGGTGGATTCTCGAGCACTTAGCAGCGACAGGCCATCTCCCGGCGAAGAATGGGCCCCCCGTTTCCTCTGGTAAACGTCACCATTCTCAATCTTATCTAAAGATGAAAAAACACCATAGCAATGGAGTGAGAACACTGGATTCCAACACTACAGAACTTTGACGTCAGCATGCAGTCATTCAAACCTTCCAGATCTCTATACACATCCAGTGACAGTTACAAAACAGTTACATTTACTAAACAAGGCTCCTCTCCTGGACTGAAATTGCTAATTCTGCTTTCGCCGCACACTGTGAGATTCTTACAATCCGAATTAGAAGCTGCAGCAAGTCAGATAGAGCTCCGCCTCATTTCTTGCCTGGTGGACGTCCAGCATCATCTATCAACAACCAGCACTATTCACTTATATTGCTGGTATTTCTTTCGATGGGTAATGTTCATCATGATTGATGCTGTACCAAATCCAAAGAGCCTGGAGCAGTGTCCAGCCCCCCCCACAAGCATTTTGTTTAAACAATCCCTTGACTATTAGCCTTCAAAATTAGCAAAATTGATTTGGCAAACTTGGTTTGGCTCAGATTTAAATGTTTAATAAAGGACTTGTCCAAAACTTGTGTCTGAATATTTACAACTGATGTTTTTGTGAATGAGTAGGGGTACTATGTGCCCCTTATTCATGTAGGCATGGGGGGAGCAGATATCTATCTTAAAAGGGACTTCCAGATTCCAGTAAGTCCTCCCTTGACCCCCCCCCCCCACAACCATTGGACCAGGGTTGTGGGTGGGAGGCCCTTGTCCTCATCATCACAGAGCCCAGGTGGCCTGGTATGACTCAGAAGGCCTGGTATGGTTC